AGCTGAGGCAAAAAGGGTGAAGCGGATTTGTATGAGTTCAGATTCGTGACAGGGACAGCCCCAAACCTATTTTTTAAAGAGTAGGAGGTACTCAGAATATTCAAACCTAAAGTCCAGATTTATTTCCCCTTTCACATTGGCAGAACGTACTTATTTCCCCTAAGTGTTTCCCCTAATGGTCAACTGGGAGTGGGGGAACCTAAGGCATAAAAGATGTAAATGTGATCTGAATAAAGATAAAAAGTATAATGCACAGTGCGATTCTGATCCCTGTGGTCTCAAGGTCCACAGGGTGTGAGGGGCAGCACAAGAGTGTAGGCTGCATCACGGAGGCTCCCACTGGGTCACAAGAGCCGCATGGAGGTTATTTGCAGTAGCTTGGGGCCAGGCCCAGCTAGGGCTCAGCAGACCAGGTCTATGGCTCAAGCATTTCTCATACCTGGAGCCGAGCTTATGGCCGACTGCCTGTGAACCCCCGGGTTCCCTGCAAATCCCCGTCCAATTCCTAGCCCTGCCCTCCTTAAACCCTGACTAGTATTACTCGCTTTAAGCTATCATTTCTCTCTGTGGAGTCCTAATCCTCTTTGAAATGATATATTTATACTTCAACAGCTCAGCGTATTAATGAGGCAGGTCATGGTCAACTGACCCACATGAAAAGCCAATTGAATTTTAGATTCTTTAGCCAGAGTCTAAATCAAGTGATATCTCATTCATACAATTTTTTAATGTCCTTTAATCACTCCTCAATTTTGCTTAAATATCCATAAATACGAAGAGATGGTCAGGGATGACACCATCTTCACACTGAGCCAGTTGAGTCACTGTTGGTTCAGAGCCACAGCCACTGATGGGCACATGCCTCCAGGTGTGATGAGATGGAGAAAGGTGGAAATCACTGAGCAGGATCTTCAAGGCCTCTTCTAGTTCTAAGGGCCCATTATCTTTCACATCGATAAATACCTGCTAACCCAGGCACTCAAAGGAGTCAAGAGGAGTTGTCTTGCAAAATTAAGGACTAATAGCTCCCATTAATTCAACACTAACTGTGTGTCATGCACTTTGCTCAGTTACTCAACAGGTGTCTGAGTTTCTTGTATGTGCCAAGCACTGTCCTAGGCATTGGGAATTGCATGGTGTACGGGGTGAAGTCCCCCCCCTCAAGCATCTTAGACTCTATGGGGAGGACATAATAAGGAAAAAAAATAAGATAGTTTCTGCTGTAGTTAAACACTATGAAGAAAATGAAGTAAGATGATGTCAGAATTCCTTGAGGAGGGGAGAAGGTCAAGGAGGCAGCCACGTGAAGACCTGAGGGGAGAGCAGTCCAAGCAGCAGGACCAGTCAGTGCTAAGACCCAGTGAGCTTGGTGCGTCAGCAGACAGGGACAGAGGAACATGACCACAGCAGACAGGGGCAGATGACATAATGCGTCATGGCCCTGGGAAGCAGTATGGGTTTTATTCTGAGTGCAATGGGAAGCCATTGGAGGGTTTGGAGCAGACGAGTGGTAGGATCAGATTTATGCCTTAGAACACACTATTCTGGCTGCTGGGTAGGGACTGTGAGGAGGGGGTTGTTAGGAGGGGCAGGAAGACTGGTTAGGGCCTTCTGCAGGCCCAGGTGAGAGGATATGGCCTGGACTGGAGTTGTAGTGGAGGTGATGAAAAGTGGTTGATTCAGGGTATAGTTTAGAGGTGGAGCTGATGGAATGACCTACTAATAGATCGAAATGAGACCTAGATGTCAAGAATGACATCTAGGTTTGGGCCATGACTGCAGTTGAGAAGGGATTTGGGAAGAAAATCAGTAGTTTGGCCTTGGCCTTGCTAAGTTTGCCATCTGAGGATAGATGTCCAGTAGGCGGCTAAGTTCATGATTCTGAGTTCTGGAGAGAGTCCAGGCTGGAGATGAAAGTGTGGAAGCTGTCAGCCTACAACTGGTATGTAATGTTGGGGATGGGGAGAATGTGGGTAGATGAGAAGGGCACCAAGAACAAGCCTGGGAAGCCCCAAGCATGTAGAGATTTGGTAAAATGGAGGCGATGAGCCATCAGTGAGGTTGCAGTGAAACCAGACAAGTGTGGGTCCTTGAAACCTGAGTATTTGGAGGAAGAATTCACTTGGCGAACCATGAGGAATCTGCTGGCAAGCTGAGTAACGAAAGCAGGTCATTGGTGACCCCTGTGCAAGCTTTGTCCATGGAGTGATGGGGACAAGCATCCAGTTGGAGTAAGTTGAGGAGAGAATAAGAAAGATGAGGACACAAGACAGGTTTGAGAATGGTCAGTTATTTATTGTTACCCTAGAAAAATACCCAGATTTAGTAGCTTAAAGCGAAGACAACATTTACTTTGCACACAAATCTGCAATTGGTCAGGGCTCTGCGGGGACATTGTCTGCTCCATTTGGTATCAACTGGGGTGTCTGGGAGGCTGGGCCTGGAGCCACTCACTCACCCACAAGTCTGATGGTTGAGCCTGGCTGACAGCCAGAATCCCTGAATGTGCCTGAGCTTCCTGACAACATGGCGTCTGGGTTCTGAGGGCAAGTCTTGAGAGAGCCAGGCCTAGACCGTATCACCTTTGATGACCTAGCCTTGGAAGTCACATGGTGTCCCTCTGCCCATCCTCTTCAATGAGGTAGCCACAAAGTGCCATTGGGTTGAAGAGAAGGAGGAGGAGACTGCCCCTTGGTGGAGGAACACGTGACACCAGATCTGTTGCTGTGCCGTTTTTGGAAAACAAATCTGCCACAAAGGGTTTTGTTGTAAGAGAAGCCAAAATTAGGACAGCGGATGGAGGGGATGGCGGGCAGGGCCAGTGGATCCAGGGATCCAGAGTGCCGAGGGACCACAATATTTTAAATTTCTTTTAAGTGTTGTCATTTCTTTCAAAATCAGAAGGATGAATTTAATCCAGTCTGGGCTGGGCTGGATTATATTCATCTTTATACCAATGAGTGATAAAATATTTTAAATATTTACGTATGTAATACTTATTTATTCCATATTTATCTTGTGACCCATGAAGGTACAGTGCGTAGGCCCATGCAGGTGGCAATGGGACCTGAATGTGGCGTCAGGGCAGGATTTTTGTTGTTTGACTTTGTTTTATTAATGGTGATACTAAAGCTTGTCTTCAGATGGGAATGATCCATTAGAGAAGGAAAAGCAGGAGGCAGAAGAGAAAGGAATCGTGGGGAGGAATGCGGAGAGCTGAGCCTGAAAACAAGTGGAGGACCTGGCAGGCGAGAAGCGGGGAAGGGCCGCTGCTTCCGCTGAACCAGGACGAGGCAGAGCACGCGGTTCGGATGCAGGGAGTGTGTCCGGTGGGAAGATGAGGTGGCTGTCTGATGTGTCTGAGTCTCTGAAATGAAGCTTGACAGGTCACCAGCTGAACGTGGGAGTGGGTGGAGGGTTTGAAGGTGGGAAGCGTGTGGGATAGTCATCCCCGGGAGGGGGGGGGGGAGGTCTGCGAGAGGCGTAAGCAGTTACTTGATGTGTGTGCAGCCAGCGTGACTCTGATTGTTTCTGTGTTCAGCCTCCTGGGTGCAGGCGAGGTGTTAGCACGGTCAGTGGTTAGCTTTAGCCAGGGTCAGGTTTTGCCAAGTGAGCAGTTAGAGGGAGAGAGGGGTGCAAAGGTCAGGGTCATGGCAAGGAAACATCAGGTGCATCAGGCGGAGGGTAAGGACAAGAGGAAAGTGGGATATAAGCGAGGTGACAAGATGTTTTAAAAAAATACAAGATCGCTCTGGCCGGTTTAGCTCAGTGGATAGAGCATCGGCCTGCAGACTGAAGGGTCCCAGGTTCGATTCCGGTCAAGGGCACATGCTGGGTTGCGGGCACATCCCCAGTAGGAGGTGTACAGGAGGCAGCTGATTGATGTTTCTCTCTCATCGATGTTTCTGACTCTCTATCCCTCCCCCTTCCTCTCTGTAAAAAAAATCAATAAAATATATATTTTTTTAAAAATACAAGATCAATAGGTTGCGAGTCTCAATGCGGCTGGTGACTTGTTGGAGTGCAGGCGTTAGGATACGTGAGCTGGAAGGAGCGGTGATGCTGTTCGAATGTCTCAGAGGGGGGACAGAAGTGCCTGATAGCAAGGCCCAGGAATGGCTCCTAAACTGTGCGCATTGGAAGGACCTGGAGGGCTTAAACAGGTGGCTGGGTTCACCCCGAGTTCCTGATTCGGTGGGCCAGGTGGGGCCTGGGCATTTGCATGTCTAACAAGCTCCCAGATGCTGCAGCTGCGGGCCGGACCTCAGCGATGGGAGGCCCGCGTGGGATGGAGGGAGAGCTTCTTGGAACTAAAGAGATGAGGATCTTTGAGGCCAGCGTGTGGGATGGTCAGCTCCCCACCTCAGGCTGTCCCTGAGCGATGCTTTGAGACACACATGAAGTCACTAGTGAATAATGGCAACGAGGAGGAGTACATGGAGGGGTGGAGTCGGACATGGCTTCGAAGGGACTGGCATTTTGAGGGGAAGAAGAGAAAGGGTGGAAGCGATGCTTACGAGGAAGGAGGAGACGCCTTATTCTCCAGACCCTGAGGGGTGGGGGCTGTGGGGGGAAACCCACCAGCACTTGGCAGGATGACAGGAAGTGCAGCTCCTACTTCAGGAATGGGGAGGAAGGTAGAACAACGGAGAGGTTAGGGACGCATGGAGGCAGAAAGCCATGAGAGGTCAGGCTTCTGTACAGACACTTCAGAGGTGAGCACCCAATGGGAGGCAGGCGGTGCTGCCCCGAAGACGGGCCATCACTGGAATCACTCCCCCTAAATTCTAGAAAAATCAGTGCTGCAGGTTTCCTGATTTCTTGGAGGTATCATTTTTTTAAAAATATATTTTATTGATTTTTACAAACAGAAGGGAGAGGGATAGAGAGCTAGAAACATCGTTGAGAGAGAAACATCGATCAGCTGCCGCCTGCACACCCCCTTCTGGGGATGTGCCCGCAACCAAGGTACATGCTCTTGACCGGAATCGATCCCGGGACCCTTCAGTCCACAGGCCAACGCTCTATCCACTGAGCCAAACTGGTTAGGGCAAGGAGGTATCATTTTTTATATTGCATTAAAACAAGCATGAGTATATAATTGACTCAAAAACAAATTTGCATACACCTTTAGTATAAAAGTAAGAGACTTCAGAGATATCTTGAGCCGCGCTCCCAGATCCTCCTCACGCAGAGAGAAAGTAGCAAAGCCTCCAGGTCTTGGGTGAAGGGTGTTGGAGGGAAGCATTTGTACTTTAAACTGGAAAGTGGGGAACTTCCAAGACTCAAGGCGGCGATCTGTATGGTGCCGGGGACTGAGTTAGCTTCGGGCACTGAGTTAGCTTCGGGCACAGCTGCTCACCCTTCAAGTTGTAGGTGCTGCGGCTTCTCACCAGGCAGCATGGAGGGGCTGAGCCCAGGAGCCCATGTCTCCCAGATGGGCCTCTCTGGGGCAGTGTGGTGCCCAAATAAAGGGACAAGGAGCGTGTGGGCCATGGAGGGTCTCAGCCTGTCTTCCCAACTGGTCTTCGCTCTACCCTCCCCTCAGTTCCCTCCCCTTCTCCCCCTTCAGAATCTTCTGGGTGGCTTAGCTGAGTGGTTGACAATATGAAGAGGAGGGGTGCGGCTGGGGGAGCTTAGCAGGCAGAAGGGAATCTTCTAATGATCTTAGGACGCTTAGCTGGCCTGGTTCTGTCCACCTTGTCATCTGCGCCCTATACTGCCCATCATGTTCAGTTGCCCGGGAGATGGTGAAGAGCCTGGCTAAGCTAAGGAAAGGGAGGGAGAGGGCCCTAACCTAAGACTCAACCAGCAGCAGCCCAGAGGAGACAGACCCTCGCTGCCTGCCGTTCCGGGGCCAGGATGGGGCAGCAGTTCAGCTGGGAGGAGGCGGAGGCGGCGGGCGAGATGGACGTGGCGGAGCTCCAGGAGTGGTACAAGAAGTTCGTGGTGGAGTGCCCCAGCGGCACGCTCTTCATGCACGAGTTCAAGCGCTTCTTCAAGGTCACGGGCAATGAGGAGGCCACCCAGTATGTAGAGGGCATGTTTCGAGCCTTCGACAAGAACGGGGTAAGGCACCCTGAAGGGGGGACTGGCGGCCCGTCCACTTGGCCCATTTCTCATCCTGGAGCTCAAGGAACAGCCTCGAGGGGGCTCCCAGTTCCCAGTCCTCCTGCTCTTCCTCTCTCTCCACTCCCCTCACCTTTTCTGTCTCACTCTTTCTCTGAAACTCCTCCTCCCTCTCCCATCATTCTGTGCCTTCCCATCTTCTCTTCCCTCCTCTCCTTCTGCACTTCCATCTGACTGTCCCTCTCTCCACTCCTGGTGCTGAAGGTGGGCTGGGCAGTGGGCACACTGTTTATAGGCAAGGCTTTGCAGCCTGAGGACCTGGTTTCCACCCCCCACCCGAGCCCCTGTCACTCTAAAAATAAGGAGCGAAAGAGCTGCCCAAATGGGACGGGCCATGTTGGCACAGACCCAGAGCTCCTCCTCTGCTTCTGAGTCAGCAGCAAGCCGGTGAGGGCATGAGCGGGTTTGTTACTTCAGATTAAATGATGAGAAAATGGGGGCAAAAGGAAGTGAATTCACCTGCCCACAATCATCTACTCAGGGGTCCAGACTCCCAGACAAGTGTGCCTGCCTGGGAGGCAGTTTGTGTTTTAAAGAGAGAAAATTATTTTTTTAAAAGCAGGTCCTATGTCACAAAACTTACTATCCTAAATGTGTCGATCTTCCTTGTTCATCTAAAAATTCAATATAACAATTCAGGAGCCAAAAGAGATTATTTAGCCGTGGGCGTGATATAGCTGGGCCCCTTATACCCCATCTCATCTTACAAATTAGCATATACATTCATCAATTTCTTTTTCCTTTCTTTATAACTTTCTTTATAACTTTTATTTTGATAGGATTTCAAATTTAAGAGCAGGGACAGTCAAATTCAAGTTGGAGACATTACGCCCTTTATCCCTAAGTATTTCTGTGTTTCTTCTAAAAATGAGGTCATCCTATCTAATAAAAGAGAAACATGGTAATTGGCGTACAACCGCTACCCTTCCCATTGGCTAATCAGGGCGATATGCAAATTAACTGTCAGCCAAGATGGCGGCCGGCAGCCAGGCAGCTTGAAACTAACATGAGGCTTGCTTGCTTCAGTGATGGAGGAAACCAACGTTCCCCACCTGCCACCATAGGCCTCTGAGCTGGCAGTTTGAAACATAGTTACAAAAATAGAAGCTAAACAAAACCCCAGAAACCAGCTTTCAGCTAGCCGGGATCTCAGACCTGGAGTTGATACAGAGTTTCAATTATAGAACCTAAAGAAACCAGATACCTGCTTTCAGGAGCAGAGGCCTAAGAGCTGGAGCCTCAGAGCTAAAGCTGGCTCAGAATAAAAAATAAAAAAAATAAAAAAAGGAGCAGTTGGGAGCTTCAGTCCCAGCCTGAAAACAGCCCTCAGCCCCTCACCCAGACTGGCCAGGCACCCCAGTGGGGACCCCCACCCCAGGCACCCCAGTGGGAACCCCCACCCTGATCCGGGACACCCTTCAGGGCAAACCAGCCAGCCCCCACCCATGCACCAGGCCTCTATTCTATATAGTAAAAGGGTAATATGCCTCCCGGCACTGGGATCAGCATGACAGGGGGCAGCGCCCAAACCCCCTGATCACCCTGTGGCTCTGTGTGTGACAGGGGGCAGGGCCACAACCTCCCTATCCGCCCTGCTCTGTTCGTGACAGGGGAAGGCGCCCCAACCCCCTGATCGGCCCTGCTCTGTGCCTGATAAGGGGGAGCTCCCCAACCTCCTGATCGCCCTGCAGCTCTGTGTGTGACAGGGTGTGGCACCCCAACCCCCCCACCCCATGGGCCCTGCTCTGTGTGTGACGGGGTAGAGCCATAACCTCCCCATCGGTCCTGCCCTGAGTGTGAGAGTGGCGGCGCCCCAACCCCCTGATCGGCACTGCTCTGTGGGTGATAGAGGGCGGTGCCCCAACCCCCCCACCCCACAGGCCCTGCTCTGTGTGTGACGGGGTAGAGCCATAACCTCCCCATTGGCCCTGCCCTGAGTGTGACAGTGGTGGCGCCCCAACCCCCTGATCGGCCCTGCTCTGTGCATGACAGGGACTGGCGCCGCAACCTCCCCATCGACCCTCCCTTGAGTGTGACAGGGGGCGGTGCCCCAACCCCCCAATCGGCCCTACCCTGAGCGTGACTAAGGGTGGCATCGCAACCTCCCAATCTGCCCTGCTCTGTGCATGACAGGGGGCAGCACCCCAATTCCCCAATCGGCCCTGCTCTGAGCCCGACCAGGGGCTGCACCTAGGGATTAGGCCTGCCCTCTGCCACCCGGGAGCAGGCCTAAGCCAACAGGTCATTATCTCCCGAGGGATCCCAGACTGAGAGAGGGCACAGGCCGGGCTGAGGGACCCCCCCTCCCCCTGAGTGCACAAATTTTTCTGAACCGGGCCTCTAGTTCTTTTAAATAAGCTAATACAATTATTAAAATCAGGAAATTTTGCACTGATATAATTCTATTATCTAATTAACAATCCATATTCAAATTTGGTCAATTTGTGCCGATAATGCCCTTCTATGCTTTTTTCCCATTGGTGGTGGGGGGTGATCACTCATTGCATTTACTTGTCCTGTCTCCTTACCCTTTAATTTGGAGCCTTTAATTTCAGCTTTTCTCTGTCTTGTTGGACCCTGGCATTTTAGATTCAGGTTGTGCACTTCCAGCAGAAGTGCTGCAGAAGTGGCCTTTGTCCTCAGTGCCCGCTGTCAGGGGGCAGGTGACGTTGGTCTGTCCCTTTAATGGGGTTGCTGACTTCTCCATTTGGTTATGTGGTGCCTGCTGGGTTTCTCCACGTTACTATTTTCCCTTTATAATCAGTAAGGATCTTATAGGGCAGTGATGGTGAACCTTTTGAGCTCGGCGTGTCAGCATTTTGAAAAACCCTAACTTAACTCTGGTGCCGTGTCACATATAGAAATTTTTTGATATTGCAACCATAGTAAAACAAAGACTTATATTTTTGATATTTATTTTATATATTTAAATGCCACTTAACAAAGAAAATCAACCAAAAAAATGAGTTCGCGTGTCATAGGTTCACCATCACTGTAAATATAGAGGGTGCTTAAGACAAAGCAAATATCCTGTTGCTCACCCAATTTTCACCGACTGGGTTGGGCATCCGCTGTTGGTTTTCTAATTCCACCGTCCCTTCTCGATGGACATTCCGCTGCAAGGAAGAGCTTTCCTAGGAGGTGTGCTAGGTGCCTCTCTCAGGGACTGAGCCTTCTTTCTCTCCTCTTCCCCCTTAGTCTCCAAGCCCACACCCAGCCCCACTCTCAGCTTGGCACAACCTTTATATCAGGGAGTCTCATTTCTGGGCAATTGGTCTGAGATTTCTGGGGCAAATAAAATCAAAAGAGCTCATAGATCTAGGTCACACATCAAAACCTGGGGTGATAGAAATGGGTGTGGTGGAGACCAGCAGGGATGACGCACTGGAATGAAGAAAAGGGTTGAAGCTCAAATGTCACTTGGGACCCTTATGTAACATGCACTGGGGTCAGGGCTGGTGCACAGGTGCAGCCACTTCAGGGAGAAATGGGGCAGATAATCCCAGAGCCGATCACACACCTGTCACTTCTGCTCCTGCCACTTGAGTAGACAGGTGTTTCCATCATCCTGGGCTTCTGGGGTAATTAAGGCTGACGAGGGGAGGGCGGGGCACAGGGGTGAGATTAGTCCCAGCCGGAAGCTTCCCAGAAAGGGCCCTGGGGTTCCGGTAGCCTCATCGGGGAGACCATTTGTCTGGAAGGGGCTCCTCTAGAACATGCCTCTTGTGGGCAAGAGGTTGGGGGAGGAAGGACCTCTACCCTCAAGGTTCTTCTGGCCGGTCTAATCGTCAAATAGACAGGAGACAGATTAGCAAGAGAAAATAAGCAAATTTAATTCCTCCTCCGGGAACCCCACATACAGGGGAGCCAGAGACCCCGCATGCATGGGCACGGGAGGTTCAGAGACAAAGGGGATGCGGGAACAAGACATCCTGAGCTGGGGATGAGCTTAGGTGCCTTGGGGGCTCACAGGGTCACTGCAGGGTAAGAAGAGCAGGTGTTCAGGAAATCGCAATTCGTCCGGCGGTATAGATAGCTCAGAAGAGGTTATCACTGGTGATCAGTTATGGACAAGGCCCCAATTCCAGTTCTTCTAGGTAGTCAAGGGAGGGGCAGACATTTCTTTAGGGCCCACATGCAATGGATACTACTCAGCAATAAAAAGTTGCCTTCAGCCCTAGCCGGGTTGGGTCAGTGGATAGAGCATCAGCCTGCAGGCCAAAGAGCCCCAGGTTCAATTCCAGGCAAGGGCATATACCTTGGTTGCAGTCTTCTCCCTGCCTGGGCCCTGGTTGGGGCTCGCGCAGGAGGCAACCAATCAACGTGTTTCTCTCACATCGATGTTTCTCTCTGTCCTTCCTGCTCTCTTCCACTCTCTAAAAATCAATGGAAAAATATCCTCGGGTGGGGATTAAAAAAATAATAAATAAAATAAAAATAACTGGAATTATAAGGAAAAAAAAAGTGGCCTTCAGCCCAGCTGGTGCAGGTCAGTAGTTGAGCATCCACCTATGAACCAGGAGGTCACAGTTTGATTCCGTTCAGGGCACATGCCTGGGTTGTGGGCTTAATGCCCAGTGTGGGGCGTATAGGAAGCAGCCAATCAATGATTCTCTCTCATCATTGATGTTTCTATCTCTCTCTCCTTCTCCCTTCCTCTCTGAAATCAATTTTTTAAAAATGTATTTTTTAAAAAGCCAATCTTGAAGGATTGCATACTATATGATTCTAACTCTATACCATTCCCAAAGTGATACTGTTATAGTGATGGGGAACAGATCAGTGTTTGCCAGATGTCACGATTGGGAGAAGAACATGACTATTAACAGGTAACAAGTGAGTTTGTGTCGAGAGTTACTCATATCTACGAATGTGATAAAAATTTCATAAAACTATACACCTACAGCCCGGCTGGTGTGGCTCAGCTTGTTGAGTGGCAACCCACGAACCAGGAAGTCACAGCTCAATTCCTGGTCAGGACACATGCTTCAGTGATTCTCTCTCATCATTAATGTTTCTATCTCCCTCTCCCTTTCTCTCTCTGAAATCAATTTTTAAAAATACATATTTTAAAAAATTTTTTTGGAAATTAAAAACCCCAAAAACGAAAAATGATACACCTGCAAACACAGTACACTACAGACGAGTGGGGGTGGGGACAAACAGCCACTGCTAAGGATCTGCCCCAAGAAGCCGCCGGAGATGTTAGAGCAATACGAGTGCACACAGGTGCTCATCGTGTGGTGTAAAGCATTGCACCCACGTTCAGAAAGGGGGGTGTCCGGGGCACCTCAGAAAATGAAAGGTATGGTTTTAAATAATTTTGAAGAATGGGACATCTCTAATAACCAAAGGGTAATATGCTAATTAGACTGGGCCTCCTTCCATATGACCTTCCGGGTGAAACCGGGGTTGCGAGGGAAGCCCGGGTCCCGGGTGCCAGAGGGAAGCTGGTGCCAGTAGCAGGGGGAAGGAAGGCCTACTCTTGCATCAGGCCTCTAGTTTTAAAATAAAAATCCAGGAACTGAAACTATACCTACAGTCTGGTCTCAATCATGTAGCACACAGCGGGGGGAGGGAGGGCCAGAAGAACTACAGAAAAGACGCAGCGTAAGCACTTCAGGTGCTGGGATGGGCTCCTTTTGTTTTCTTCTTGGTTGGTCCAGAGGCTTTTATGCTGTTTCCCCATTTCCTGCCGTGTTCTCCTGTTGCTCACATCTTGCTCACCCAGGCACCCCATCTGGGGCTGGGACTCTGGGTGGCCTGATCCAATGAGGCAGGTGCCCTGGGCCGGCAGCACCATTTCTGATTACACAGTCATGGGAATGAGACACTCCTGGGGAGCTGATGACTCAGGTGTTTGATTTGGAGGTCCCCGCCCTGAAATACGCCCAGAGCTCAGCCTGAGACCCACTGACCCGCTGCAGCCACCACCAGCAGCCCCTCCCCTCACACTCCTGTGGAGTCACAGCAGGTTCCCAGCCTCTTGCTCACTGCTGTTGGAATAATTGTAGCTGTCACATTTCTGCTGGGGGAAAGTTCAGTTTCCTGCTCAGAGTCACCTCGGAAGTGACCTGTGCCCTCCTCCTTCCGCTGGCCCCTTAGCACCTGAGCTCTGTCTCCCCCCTTCCTGGGTGGGGGTGGGGTGCAGGCCTATCCTTCAGTGTCAAGTCCACGTGGACCTAGGTGAGCAGGGCTGCACGGCCTGTCCCCTTTCCCCCGGGCACCAAGTGAATGAAAGTGCAAAAGAAATTTTCAGTGTGAGCACAGCTTTCTAATCTTTCAAAACTACCTTGGTCTCAAATTCAGATTAAGTTGATCATTTGTTCATTGATTCATAAATATATTTTTTAAATATATTTTTATTGATTTCAGAGAGGAAGGGAGAGGAAGAGAGAGAAACATCAATGATGAGAGAGAATCATTGATTGGCTGCCTCCTGCATGCCCCCTACTGAGAACTGAGCCCACAACCCGGTCTTGTGCCCTTAGCCAGAATCGAACCTGGGACCCTTTAATCTGCAGGCCGACTCTCTATCCACTGAGCCAAACCAGGTAGGGCAGTGGTTCTCAACCTTCCTAATGCCACGACCCTTTAATACAGTTCCTCATGTTGTGGTGACCCCCAACCATAAAATTATTTTCGTTGCTACTTCATAACTGTAATTTTGCTACTGTTATGAATCATAATGTAAATATCTGATATGCAGGATGTATTTTCATTGTTATAAATTGAATATAATTAAAGCATAGTGATTAATCACAAAAACAATAGGTAATTATATATGTGTTTTCCGATGGTCTTAGGCGACCCCTGTGACAGGGTCATTTGACCTCTTCAAAGGGGTCGCGACCCATAGGTTGAGAACCACTGAGTTAGGGCATCCTATCTAATAATATGAGGAATATGCTAATTGACCCTCACACTGTCGCAAAGATGGCAGCACCCACAGCCAATAAGGAGGGAATATGCTAATTGATTGTCCCACCCTCAAAGATGGTAGTGCCCACAGCCACAAGATGGCAGCACCCAGTCCCCTCAGCCCCAGGTGGCAGGCATATGGCAAGGCTGGGCCCACTCCCAAGTGGGCCCGGCCGCTCTGCGCGCCTGCCTCTGGAGTCCCCCAGTCCTCTCAGCCCCTCAGCTGCCCAGGGCTGCCCGAGGCTCAGGTAACCAGGGCCGGCTGAGGCTTGCGCTGCCGGCAGTGGCAGCAGCAGAGGTGTGATGGGGGCGTCGCTTTCCCCTGATCGCCGGGTAGCCTTCCGCCCCTGAGGGCTCCCGGACTGTGAGAGGGGGCAGGCTGGGCTGAGGGACGCCCCCCCCCACCGCCCCCCCCCCCCAGTACATGAATTTTCATGCGCTGGGCCTCTAGTTTGTAAATATTTTTGAGATCCTGACTCTGCAGAAATGGCAATGTGCTAGGCATGGAAGAGAAACAAAAGCAATGTAACCCCTCTCTTTTTTCCAGGGCACACATTAGCTAGGGAACGAGGCTTACTTATGAAGCAATTGGTGCCAATGCCAGAGTAAGTCCCAAACTGCACAGAACAGGAGGCAGGTGCTGTGAATGTGAGAGGAGGGAGGGGTCGCTGCCTGAAGTGGTCTGAGAAGGAAGGCTTCCTAGAGGAGGGGACCTTTGAGCTGAGCCTTGAAGAACAGGTAGGACGGGGTGATCATGGAGATGAAAGGTTGCCAGTGGAGAACAGCATGAGCAAAGGTGCAGAGGCCAAACATATTGCAAGGACGAGGCAAAGCCCTGAGCTTGTGGCAGTGGAGGGCCCAGAGTAGGTGCCCACCTGTGCCCTGGAGGTGGGAGTGGACCAGGAAGGCTCACAGCTCCCACTCCCAAAGCAGGACAACACCATCGACTTCCTGGAGTACGTGGCAGCCCTGAACCTGGTGCTGAGGGGCACTCTGGAGCACAAGCTGAAGTGGACCTTCAAGATCTATGACAAGGACCGCAACGGCTGCATCGACCGCCCGGAGCTGCTCGACATTGTAGAGGTCAGTGTCTGCCCCCTGGTGGTCAGTGTGCATCCTAGTGACCGGTCATTCCGCTGTTCGGTCGATTTGCATATTACCCTTTTATCATATAGGATTCTCTTTTCCTCTCTGAATCTCCATTTTCCTCTGTAAAGTAGTGTCGAGATCATCAAGTGCCATCCACATCCCTCATTTTGTTTTTTTAAGACTTGTGTTTTGTGCTTTTGGAGTTTTTTGGTGTTTTGGGGTTTTTTTTAATCCTCATGCTTTTATTGATTTTAGAGAGAGAGGAACAGAGAGAGGCAAGAGAGAGAGAAACGTTGATGTGAAAGTGAAACATGGACGTGCTGCTTCCCGCGCGTGCCCAGACTGGGTATCTAGCCCACAACCTGGGCACGCGCCTGCCCTGTCAGTGGTGGGAGGGAGGGTGCTCCAGCCAGCTGAGCCACACCCGCCAGGGCTCATTAGAGGTTTTGGTTTCATCTTTGGGGCTCACCATGGAACCACAGCGGCATCGGGGTGGGGCGGCATGTGCGGTCAGGATCCCCAGTTGCAAGTAGGCCAGTGGGACCCGGAGGCACATCAGTGTTGGTCTGGACCTGGGTCCTGTGGGTCTCGGACTGGACGGACGCACAGCTGGGGGGCAGCGCTGGGGAAAGAAAGGGTGTGGGCACGTGGAGTGGGGGAGGGGCGGAGTTTGTCGGGCGCCCACCCCCTTATGCCTCTGGCTTCCTCCACAGGCGATTTACAAGCTGAAGAAAGCCTGCAGGGGGGAGCGGGAAGCCGGGCAGCAAGGCCAGCTGCTCACGCCCGAGGAGGTGGTGGACCGGATCTTCCTCCTGGTGGATACAAACGGAGACGGTAGGAGGGGCAGAGGTGGTGGCCCACCCGTAGCGCCCCCACTTCCTGGCCGTGTGACCTGGGCAGACCCCTCCACCTCTCAACTGGTGTCCTCATCTGCGAGCCGGGTGTGCAGAGGACGCCAGGAAACAGCAAAGGGGGTCTCTAGCCCATGACGTTTGTAAGAGCCATTGCAGCCGTGGGCAAACTACGGCCCGCGGGCCGGATCCGGCCCGTTTGAAATGAATAAAACTAAAAAAAAAAAAGACCGTACCCTTTTATGTAATGATGTTTACTTTGAATCTATATTAGTTCACACAAACACTCCATCCATGCTTTTGTTCCGGCCCTCCGGTCCAGTTTAAGAACCCATTGTGGCCCTCGAGTCAAAAAGTTTGCCCACCCCTGCATTAGAGCTATTAAACTCCTACCGAGTGGCTGGTGGAGGCCAGGCCAGCGAGAGGGTGGGAGCATTGGAGACGGGCAGAGGGGCAGATGATGGTACATGATCTCTCAGCCTGGTCTGGAAGCGGGTGATAATGGCTGAGAGGACGAAGTGGGTAATTAAAGCCCAAGGCTGTGCAGGGAGGCAGCTGTTGGGAACACGCCCAGAAGAGCCCTCCAGAGCCTGCCCAGGGCTCCATGGGCAAAAGGAACACTGCAGTTCATTTGCGAAGTCCCTTTAGAAAGCCTGGAAGGCTCCAGGAGAACCTGGAGAATCCCAGGCGCTGGGCTTATGCTCCTGTGTGAGAGCTGCAGGCCCCCTGGGGAGAAGACCTCTCCTCTGCCCCTCCTCTCCTCTGCCCCTCCTCTCCTCTCCCCTCCCCCCTGTCCCCCCCCCCCGCCTCCCCCCCCCCATCTCTCCCCGTCCTCCGCAGGCCCATCTCTCCCGCCCCTCTCTCAGGCCAGCTGTCTCTGAATGAGTTCATCGAAGGTGCCCGCCGGGACCAGTGGGTGATGAAGATGCTGCAGATGGACGTGAACCCCGGCGGCTGGATCTCCCAGCAGAGGCGGAGAAGTGCCATGTTCTGAGTCCACAGGCCCTGCCCAGAATCCAGGCTCAGCAGGTGCCCGGGGCGGGGGGGGGGGGGGGGGCGGTAGGGGGGGAAGGGGGGGCCTGGCTCAGCCCCCTCATGCCCACTCAGCCTACCCCCTTCAGCTGCTCCTGGGCTGGGCAATGATGAGGCTCCCACAACTCCTACAGGTTCTTAGCTGGAAGCAGGGCACATGGAGGGGTGGGGTCCCACAGGCCACACTAACAATGAGAATGCCTAGGAGGTAGGGCCTGAAAGTGTTGAGCCTGAAAAAAGACGCATCTGCTGTGTGTGAGGGGAGCGGGGGGGGGGGGGGGGGTGGTAATTACCTCCCCCCAGATCCTGAGGCGTGTTCACAGAGGGTGCTCACCTCCTCCCCAGTTGCCCCCACCTGGGTGCCAGCGGGGAAACTGGCGAGGCAGGCTGGGCTCTCCCTCCCTCAGCCCCCGCTGCACACCACCCCTCTGCTCCCCTCCCTACCCCTGGTCCCCACGCTTGCCTCTCCACTGCCCTCCCCAGCATGGCCCTCCCACGATTCCCAAGATTCCCAGCCACAAGCCCAGCATGTCTCCTTCCCTGTCTCTGGGGAGAACTGGGAGCCTGACGACCTGGGTTCCAGGTCAGGCTTTGCCTCCACCTGCTATGTGACCCCGACGGCCACTCTCCTCCGACCTCGGTTACCTGGTCTGCCCCGTGAGCAGGGCTGGACTAGACCAGCAGCTTTCAGATGATTATTCTTTAGATTTTGAATTATTTTTGTTATACAAATTCTGTGCACAACCCCGAAGTAGAAACTAGATTAAAAGGGAGGCGCTCTGGTTGAAGGGGGCTGAGCGACTCAGACCCCTCCCCCCGCTGGAGCCAGAGGCACCTCTGAGAACGCGAGGCTGGTCAGTGTTACCCAGCGTTACCCACCTAGAGCGGGACCTGGAGACGCGCTTGCTTTACCGTGAAGAGGCATGTCTTTATGCTGATGCACGAAAAATAAAACCAACCTGCTGAACCTGTGGTTTCGTAGGTCTGCTATTCATATAAAGGCTCCTATAGAAATAAATTTTAGGTGAAAAATGGTTGATTTAAAAAAAGGTAATAATCCAGATGGGACACAGATAGGCCCCAAATCATGAAGGTGGTGTGTGGATGATGATGGGAAACGTCCTTATTCTGTCCAGATACCCTCCCAGCTCTGACCTTCAGGGTTTCCCAACAGGCAGCCACCAGAGAACAGAAGAGCCAGCTCCCTGTGTTTCCAGGCTGCCCGGCATTGACCTTCACCACCCCTCCACGTCCGTGCTCAGGCCCTGGCTGGCTTCCAAGGGATGGACAGGATGGGTGTGAGCAAAATGCACCCTCTCACCCCGCCCAGGGGGGCTCTGCAACCAGGGGCTTCACTCCCCTCTCCCCCTTTTCTCCCTCTCGCTGCATTTTTATTAACTCCATGCACCCCCCCACCCCCCCACCCCCACACACACCCAGCGAAGTGAAGACTCAAAGCCCAGAAGAGAGAGCATCTTGAAAATGGGCACAACTGCTTCAGTCTGTCTCTCCCAGGTCCTCGGACAGGTTTTCCTAAAGTTGGGGTGCACACAGAATGGGCAGGAGGCCCACCCGGAATAGGTTGCCCCACTTCCCAACTGATGCCAGGTGTCCTGCAGCAGGAGAGGCTGACGGGAGGCCAGGGATGGCCCGGCCGCCTCAGTGAGTCACAGAGCTGTGGGGCCCAGGCCGCGGGCACCGCATGGCACCAAGTAGCCAGCAAGGGAGAAGGAGGCTTGCACGGTCACTTCTGAGTGAATACGGATTTCCTCTGGATAATCGAGGATTTTCTATAATACCACCTCACCCTCCTTCACTGCTTCGGCCAACATCCGACTCAAGCATCCCTTCCCACGGGGTGTGAATGCACGCACATGTGGCTGTCATTTGGTCATGATTCGGATCTGCACTCGCATCCAAACACTCCATCCTCATCTCCTTGGTAGCACTGTAACCTCTTGAAGGAGGTGTCCCCTATGCCCCACAACTGGGGCTCTTGGAGGTGCTCCCTAAAAATGGATATGATGACCCCTTATTGTTTCAAATTTGGTAAAATGTAAATCCTAAGAGACACCCCCAATTTACACCTAAGAAAACTCCTCCCCATGTCACACAGCCCCCACATGGGACGCAAACACATCACACAGCATGCACCCTCCAACCTCCGCCACACATCACCTTCTCCACATGCAACCCCAACTCCTCTTTCACGTTCAAAGTCAAGGGCCACCTCTGTGAGGCTGTCTCTGAGTCCAATTCACTCAGTTTCCTATGCCCCTGCAGGAGTCCATTCATAGCTTCCCTTAGCATATCTATACTAACAAAAGGGTAATATGCTAATTAGACCAGGTCAACTGGCCATCTTCTGGATGTCCGACCTCCTTCTGGCCAAAGCCATCTTGGTGGGGACCAAGGCAGAGTCCATTAGGGGCGATCAGGCCAGCAGGGGAGGGCAGTTGGGAGCAGCCAGGCTGGCAGAGGAGGACTGTTTGGGGTGAGATGAGGCCGGCAGGGGAGGGCAGTTAGGCCGATGAGGCAGGCAGAGGCAGTTAGGGTCGATCAGACTGGCAGGGGAGGGCAGTTAGGGGTGAGATCAGGCCGGCAGGGGAGGGCAGTTGGGGGCGAGATCAGGCTGGCAGGGGAGGGCAGTTGGGGGCAATCGGGCCAGCAGGGGAACAGTTAGGCGTTAATCAGGCTGGCAGGGGAGTGGTTAGGGAGTGATCAGGCTGGCAGGCAGGGGAGTGGTTGGGAGCCAGCAGTCCCAGATCAGATCAGGCCTAAACCAGCAGTTGGACATCTCCCAAGGCTCCCCAGATTAGAGAGGGTGCAGGCTGGGCTGAGGGACAACACCTCCCAGTGCACGAATTTCGTGCACCGGGCCTCTAGTCATAATAATAAAAGGCTAATATGCAAATGGTCGTCACATCATGACGTATAACAACCGATCAGCAGGGACCTGAGGCTGTGTGGTGCCTGGCCAGGGCGGGAGACCTGAGGCTGCGCCCCCACCTGGCGGGGCTTGATGGGGGTGGGGCCAGCCAGATCTGGGTCTCCTGTGATTTTGAAGCACATGTGGGTGGGCAGGGCCTTGACTCTGGGCTCCGCGGCTCTGACAGGAGGGAGATTTTCATATACATTTTACTAATTTTCTTTCATCTCTGACACTTCCATTATAGAGAAAGGGCAAATAGAAATATTAAAATATTTCCTCTAATTAATTCCCTTTTAATGTGAATGAATTTCATGCAGCGGGCCACTAGTTTTATTATAATGAACTTAGCCTGTGAGTTCCTTGAAGATGAGGAGGCTCCTCTTCCCTGCACATCTAACATCTAGCCTTAGTACATAGTAGGTGTTCAATAAATGCTTGTTGAGTGGGAGGGGCAAATCCATGCCAAGCACACCGAGGGCTTGATGGTCCTGGGGCTCCTTGCAGCACCAGGATGGAGGCTGCGGCCACAGGCCCTGGAGGGTTCCATCAGATCAGCCTCGCGCTTCCGTGCCTAGAGAGCGGCCTGCAGAAGCTCAGGGGGGAAGCTGGGGCAGGGGTGGGGGGGCAGAGGGGCAGAGGGCTGCCGGGTGCCCCCAGCAGGAAGAGTCACCACCAGCTGAGTCACACAGAGGTTCAGAACTGTGCTTCACCGTCCCCACCTCTGGACCCCCACCCTGGCCCTGTGCTACCACCGTGCAGCCCAGCGCGGGGAGCTGAACCCTGAGTTCGGTAGACTATCTAGGGTAAAGGCGACAATGGCGACACCAGCACCGCCACACACCCCGCCCAACGCAGAAGCATCTGGGGGGGCGGTTCAGCCGGCCGCCTCAGCCGCCCCGCCCCCGGCCCCCTCCTGGTCCTGCTCCCCATTCTGGAGCCTGCGCACAATGCTGGTGAGGTCCAGGCTCCGCGTCAGCGTGTCCAGGAGCATCCGGTCCTTCTGGACGCCCTCCATGAACTCCTCCAGGGACAGCTCCCCTGGCGGCCAGAAAGGGAGTCACGGGGAGGAGGGGTTGTCTCCTTGGCAGCATTGCACCAGGGCCCAGAGCTGGAGTCTTTCGAGGGGCACAAGGCCACTGCTGGGGACGCAGCTGTGAGGGGGGCAGGCAAAGGAGCCAGAGAGCAAGGTCTGGTCCAGGAATCCCTCACACCCCGGTCTGTGGCTGGGACCCTACACCCTAGGGACCCCTCCCCGGGGGACCCCTGCCCCGGCCTCCTCACCGTCCCCGTTGACATCGATCCTGGAGAACACCGTGTCGGTGAACTCCTCGGCACTCATGGTCGAGTCGCTGCAGGGGTTAATGGCTCGGATGGCCTGGGGGGAGGAAGAAGTGAGAGGGCCCCTCCTGACTCAGCCTCGCTGGTGGGGGGGCTGCAGTGGGGAGGGGAGGCAGAGCTGGGACTCAAGAGCGTAGTCAGTCTCTTGGGACACAGGAGGAAACTGAGGCCCAGAGAGGGGAAGGAACGTGAGGGTCAGAGCTGCCACTGGGACCCTCCCTTCCATCCTGTCCCCTGCAGGGATGAGGGCTCTGCCCACTGAAGACCCAAACCCCCTCTAAGCCCCAGGCCGGCCCTCTGCACCTGGAGTTACCCGGATGATGGTGAGCAGCTCGTCACGGTCGATGCATCCGTTGCCATCCACGTCGTAGAGCTTGAAGTACCAGCGCAGCTTCTGTTCCACCTTCCCCTTGAGGACCAGGCTGAGCGCCGCCACGTACTCCATGAAGTCGATGTAGCCGTCCTGGGCGAGGGAGGCCGCCTTGAGCCCTCGCCCACCCCTCCCGAGACCCTCCCCCGTGCTGCCCACCCCATCTGTCCTGGCCGCCCAGAGCCCGCCCGCCTGCCCCAGAGGCTTTGGTCCACTCTGACAAGCTACCCCCGGCTGGGCTGCGAGTGGCACTTGGGTTGTAGCTGTCACTGCTGCTTCCCTGTGCTTCTCAGACTCGAGCCCTTCCAGCGGCTTGTGGGTGGGAGAAGAGACATGAATTCCCAGGGGCAGGTGGGGGCTGGGTGAGCTTTTCCCAGCTCGGTGAGGGCAGGAGGTAGATGTGGAGGCAAAGGTTCAAACCTCGCTTTTTCCTTCTGTGAGAATCCTGAGGGTACCTGCCTCTGTGGGATCGGCGTGGGCTTACAGGAGTACATGTATGGACACACCCGCCTGGCACGGAGTGAGCGCTCAGGGAATGCTAGCTGTCATTATCACCGCTACTATAAAGAGATCGCCGTGCTGTCAGGCGGTGTGTCCGGCAGCAACACGTCCGAGAGGGCGTTGTGGGTCACAGGACAGCAGCACCCACTCTGCTGGGCGCAGGGCAGGGGGTTGGGCGGGGGGGGGCCTTGGGTGGCTTCCTGAGGGAGCCGAGGCCCTCATCGGCTCTTGGAGAGGTTGCCATGGGGGGGGGGGGGGCACAGACATTCCTGCAAGACATTTCTTTAGGGTCCCCCGAGTGTTCACCTGCTGACCATCTGTCGGCCCTCCCAGTCCTACCAAGCTCTCTGCCCACCTCCCCCCAAACCGAGTGAGGCTGTCGAGGGAAGCCTATCTCGCAGGCAGGCTGCGCCCGGGAAGGGCGGGAGCGCTGGGACAGAGCACATGGACTCGGGGTCCAGCCCCCACTCCTCCACGCACAGCCAGGACTCGGGGTCCAGCCCCCACTCCTCCGCGCACAGCCAGGACTCGGGGTCCAGCCCCCACTCCTCCGCGCACAGCCAGGACTCGGGGTCCAGCCCCCACTCCTCCGCGCACAGCCAGGACTCGGGGTCCAGCTCCCACTCCTCCGCGCACAGCCAGGACTCGGGACCAGGCAGTCGCTGAGCAGCATGAGGAACTCTTTCACAGGCAGAGCTGCCTCGCTGGGTGATGAGCTCCCTGCCACTGGCGTGCGCAAGCAGAAGCTAGAGCAGTTACTAGGGATGTGGCAGGAGCTGGGCCGGACGGCCTCTGAGACCCGGCTCCGTGCTGGCCTTTGGCCGCAGGCGAGGCCTCAGCCACGGTGAGCCCGCAGCGAGGACTGTGATCACAGTGAACATCCGAGTGCTGCCCATGTCCCAGGGGATTCGCACACGCCTTACCCCTGGGGTGCTCGCCCACCCGCCTCCCAGGACCGCTGTGGAGCGAGGCCGGAGGCTCAGAAACAGCTGAAGAGGCTTCCTCTGCGGGGCCTCGGGGTGAGGGTGCCTTTGCTTTTCGCTTTTATCTCTCTGTGTTGTTGGACTCTTTACAACGTGCTGTATGACTTGTGCAATTTGTTGTTGTTGTTTAATGGCTACAAAGGATGGATGGAGGATCGACGGAAAGATACGGGCTTTGCTTTCAGAAAGCCCTACCCGCGCGGTGGGAGAGGGGCGACCTCCGACGAGCACAGACGCGGCCGCCTGGAGGCGCAGTGTCCTGGCTCAGAGGTGGCAGCGGCGGTGTGCGCGCCCCAGACGCTGCGGTGGCTGAATCGGAATGACATCCAACAGCCCGCTGCTTCTTAGCGCTTCCTGCGCTGAGCGTTTTACTCGTTTCGCTCGTTCAGCCTCACAACCGCTCCCCGGAGCTGGGAGTTTTGTCCCCATTTTCAGCTGAGAAAGCTGAGGCTGAGAGAGGTTAGGCCGCGCAGCCAGCGGGTGACAAGTGCTTGCCTGGAACCTGGGCCTCCTCAGTCCCACCCGGCGCTCAGAGGCGGGGATGGAAAGTTCACACAGGTGTGGATGCATGGTGTGACTGCCGGGCCCAGCCAAGCCCTCGAAAAGCTTTGAAATAAGCAAAGCCTACGTTTGTCCCCCGGGTCACACTCCCACTCACTCCGCTATACCCCCAACCCTGCTCTCCCAGCACAGCACCCTCCCCTAACTCAGGGGCCGGCAGACACTTTCTGTAAAGGGCCCGACGGCAAATATTTCCGTTTTGACAAAAGGTAACCGCGTGGGTGTGGTGTGTTCATCTGTAAATGTAGGCCCGCGGGCCACGCTTGCACACCCAGCTCGAACTCCCCTCTGTACCAATGTCCTAGCCAAGCTGCTAGCCTGCTCTGTACTTGGGACAATGGGACTCAGACCATTGGGACTCATGATGCACTTGGGATGTTACAAGATGCTCTTCACGTAAATAGCTATGTTTTTAAATGAATGTTAGTGTGAAATATAAAACTAGCCATGAACTCGTGAGTTCGCATACATCCCTTCAGTCAGATAACAAATCCCTACTAAGCACCCACTGCGCCCCAGGCACTGATTTTAAACACTCCCTGCCCTCACGGGGCTCACATTCCAGCTGGGAAACAGACATAAGCAGAGTGGCTAAATGCTGCTCAATATCATGCGTTAGAAGACAAGACGTGCTCTGGGGCGGGACTGGGAAATGCAGGGGTGGGGCTGCTCCCAGTAAAATAGGGTTTGAAGCAGGAGGTCAGGGCAGGAGACATCTGAGCAGAGACTGGTCGCAGGGGAAGGTGTGAGCCAAGCAGCACCAAAGCCCTAAAGTGTGTATGTGTGTGTGTGTGTGTGGGGGGGTGTTGGTGGCATAATCGAGGAGTCAGGTTTGGGGACAGACCAGGTGGTGGTTGCATGTGACAAGAATTAAAGAGAGGGCATATGCATGACTCAGGTTGGCGGGTTGCCCCTGCCTGGTGTCGTACGTGGGATTTTAGAGGGTCCTTGTGGAGACATGTCTTACCCCAAAGGATTTCCTTAGTACGTGGGAAGCTGAGCTATTTTGGGGGCACTGGGTGTGGGTACTGAGGCTCTTCCCCGCCTGCTCAGGAATCACGGCTGCTTCTGGGAGAGTTGGGAGGCCCAGCGTCCTGATGCCACCCCTCAGGTCTCCATGCCCCAGGCTCCCGTACTCTGCTCCCTTGCGCCCCCTTCAGGAAAGCCCTCATGATGCTGCCCTTGAGGCTGGAACTCAAAGCTCATAATCTGCTTTGGCCCCTTGACCCCAAATATTAGCGAGTTTTAAATAGCTCTGAGCCCAGCTTTCCCTAGAAGCCCCGCCTACAATGGTGTTCGTCTCTCTGGGTGGTGAGAGGAGCTGGGAGAGCTCCGGGCAGCCTCTCCCCAGCTGCGGTGGACACACGGCAGGGCATCCTCACATCTCACCTTTCGAGCGAGCGCCAGCCGGGTGGGGACCAGCCAGGGTGGGAAGACCAGCTCTGGGTTCTCCCACCACCACATCCTGACTGAATTGCTCCAAATAAGTGCAAGATTTGCTATTGAAAACTAACAAACATCCTAACTAACGCTCCGACGTCCGTGGCAGATACAGGTGACTAAGCTGAGGCTGAGGGGCAGAGAATGGGTTCAAGGTCACCCAGCTGACGAAAACTAGGGGCCCAAACTCACGGTGCCTCACTCCTTTGTCAGTGTGCCCTCCGGCTTATCCGGAAGGCTTCACCCAATGCGTCCAGGTGGTTCCTTGAGGAGACGTCCAAGTTGACCCACTTGAGAAAGGTGAGCTGAGGTCACTGGGCATTTTGGAGTTGGAGTGGCCTGGATTCCCCAGTGGCCAGCAACCCTAGTGTCCACAGATCATCACAGGTGACCCCAGTAACGTGGGCCTGCCCATCCCAGGCCAGCCGGGGGTTGGAACCGCCTCACCCTGCTCTCCACTCCCCGCCCCTCCTTCTGCACCGCATGCGGCACCAAGCACTTAGGAGGTGCTCAGCGGCTGTCTGGGAAGCGTTCACACTTGTTCTGGAGGAAATCCGAATGTGCGTGTGGGAGGCAAAGGGAGCCATTCAGCGCAGTCTGCGAGGACCCTAACCTGGGACCTCTCTGCCTTCCCCTGGGGACCCCGGGCAGGGGTGGTCCGCGTCCTTCGCACCCAGTGCTGCCTCTCAGTAGGTGCTCCATGAGTGTGAGACCAATGCCCCTAACGTGGGCATTCAACCTCCCAGGTAAACAAAGCCCTGTATCAGTGAAGCCCTCCTCAGCAGACCCTGCTGTTCTCACATCTGCCCCCCGCCCCCCAACGCTGATTGGGGCTGCCTCCATCACCCCTCCCCCAAGCCCCTGCTCACTTTGTTGAAGTCAAAGGTCTCAAACATCTGCTCCACATACTGGCTGGTCGCCGGGCTCAGGTTCTTGAGGCCAAAGAACTGGCGGAACTCGTAGAGGGTGAGCTGGCCCGAGGGGCACTCGGTCATGAACTTCTTGTACCACTGGTGGCACTCGGTGCTGCTCAGCTCTTCCACCGACTTACCCTCCATCACGTTGCCCATCGTCCAGGCCTGCGGAGGTGGACGCCTGAGACGGACCAGCCCTGTGCCCCACTCTCCCTGTGCAGGGCGGCTTGGCTTTTCAGAACTGGGCCCTCCTGGCTCACAGGCTGAGTGCTGCAGATCTGAGCAAGGAAGGAGCTGATGAGCCGGTTCAGGGAAATGTCGGGAAGAGGTGAGCAGGAGAGCGAAGGTAATGGGGCTGAGCAAGCCTACACCAAATCCAGGAGATGCCAGAGAACCGGTTACAAGCCCCCACTAAGGCCTTGCCGGCTGCTCCCCGGGGAGAGGAGTGAAAACAGACAGGCCTTGGAGGAGGGAGGCCCAGGATTACAGCCTTGAGCTGGAGGTGAGAGGATTTCCTTACCCAGTGGGCAGTCTCCTTATCCCTTCTTACAGGGCAGAGGGGTGCCAGCCGGAGCTGTTCTGATCCTGTGACCTCCACCCCCTTCCCGTCCTCTTTTGAGTGGGCTCCTCCCTGGGACACGGAGTGGAGGTACGTTGAAATAGAGCGGCTCCCCTTCCAGAGCTGGGCCCGCTGCGGGCTCTTGACAGGGCTGCTGCGTACAGTTACCAGGCTGTGCACTGCGCTTGGCCCCCACAACTGAGGGGTTCCAGTCCTTTCATTGGTAGCTCACGTGTGAGAGCGCTTGGGTGATGCAGTGCGGCTTCCAAGACGAGTCGGAAGCAGCCAGTGGAGGGAACGCCCTCCTACAAGACCCTGCACAAGCGTTTATGGCCATGCACACACTCACCGCGCCTGTCCTGGCCACACTGTCATGTTCCCGGAGGCTGCATCTTCCCATCCTGGGAGGCTCGAATTCAGCCCTGCATCTGACTCTGCGCCCGACACCCTCACCTCCCCGTGGCCTGGGGAGTGTGTGTGCGTGAGCGAGAGGCGGGCACACACATGCATGGGTGAGCTGCTACCTGCTGGTCCTGGGAAGCTCCCAGGCCAAGCCGCAGGGCCCGTCTGTGCAGCAACAGCTTCTCTGACCCTAGTGGGATGTTCTCTGGCCATAGACTAACAGGGGTTCATTGTGGAGCCAGCACCCAGGTGTGCTTAAGCTGGATGCTACCGGGAAAGTCCGGCTCTGCCCCTCCCCGACTTGCCCCTCCTCTACGCGGGGACCAGGCCTGTCCCCTACCTCAGCCAGAGGGAACCAGCACCCACATTCCTGCTTTCCCAGTGGGCACTTGGATCGTGTCCAGGTTGTGCACTGGTAACTAGCACAGAAGTGTTTTTTACACGTGAGGAAGGGGTGCCTTGTGGGGGTGGTTTGTTACCTCAGCTAATCTACCCTCTCCTGACTGATACAACAGACTGTCATTTTAAATACTGCACAGGCCAGCCAGTGTGGCTCAGTGGTTGAGTGTCAACCTATGAACCAGGAGGTCACAGTTCTATTCCCAGTCAGGGCACATGCCCAGGATGCGGGCTCAATCCCCAGTGTGGAGCGTGCAGGAGGCAGGCGATCAATGTTTCTCTCTCATCATTGATGTTTCTATCTCTCTCTCCCTCTCCCTTCCTCACTGAAATTAATAAAAATATATTTTTAAATAAATAAAGAGCCGAAACTGGTTTGGCTCAGTGGATAGAGCGTTGGCCTTCGGGCTGGAAGGTCCCAGGTTTAATTCCGGTCAAGGGCATGTACCTGGGTTTTGGGCACATCCCCAGTAGGGGGTGTGCAGGAGGCGGCTGATTGATGTTTCTCTCTCATCGATGTTTCTAACTCTCTATCTCTCTCCCTTCCTCTCTGTAAAAAATCAATAAAATATATTTTAAAAAAATAAACAAACAAATAAATAAATAAATACTGCTCAAATGTCACGAGTCTTTCTAGCAGCGCCAGGCCTGCCGAGCTCCTCTCGGGACCCCCAGCTGCGTGCCTGGCCCTCCCACACTGCCAGGCTGCCAGGAGAGGATTCTTTATTCCAGGTGCAAAGCACTGTTTCTTCAGAGTGAAGGAAGGTTTTTATATTCACGTGTATGTATGTAAATGCACTTATATGTACATAAGTGTATAATATAATTATATAATGACATCAGTATACTTGCATGTGAATTAACTTATATAAGTGGTATGCAATCTATGTTACATATAACATATATTATATATCAGAGTACATGCATCATATCTCAGAATTGTCCAGGTGATGCTGTAGTAACAAACCACGCTACAACCTCAGTGGCTGAAAGCATCACAACTTTATTTCTTGCTCACACGACTTGCCGGGTGACCTGGAGCAAATGCCTTAACCGCCCTGGGACTCAGTTTCATTCTTAAAACGGAGATAAGGGTGCCCACCTCACGGGGCTGGTAAGAGGATTGAGTGAATTAAAATTAATAAATGACAAGCATTTAGAACCGGGTCTGGCAAAGAGTAAGGGCCCCATATTGGCAGTCGCTGTATTATTTCGTATCTGTTATGGGGGTGGCGTGCTGTTGACGTAGGATCTAGGTGCAGTGACATTGCATCTTGGGCACAGCAGTGTCCCCGGATGACAGCCAACCTGGTCTCTGTCCCTTTAATCCCATCAACCATGGCCCTGCGCCGTGTGAGGGGGACAGACATCTACCTGCGGTCGGCCTCCAGAGAAGGTAGAGGCCTCATTAAAACCTCATTCGATTCCGCCCCGTTCCCCCCTCCCGCCCCCTCCCTGCCTCTCCCACAAGAAGCTGGAAAAGAGAATTGTTTTCTTAGCCTCTTTGGCAGCTCACGTGGCCACAGGACGTGGTTCAGCCAAAGGAATGTAAGGGAAGGTCTGCCATGGTTTTCTGGGGAAACGTGACTTTCTTGATAAGAAGTGGTAACGAAGCAGCTGGTGCTGCCTGCCCTTTTACTTTTGGCCTGAATGTGAGTGCGATGCCTGGACTGCAGCAGCCTTCTTGGGACCATGAGGCTGTAAGCAGAGGGAAAGGCCACGAAACCCAGAGATATCAACCTTCGCTGGTGAGCGGCTGAGCCCATGGCCATACCACTGCCTCTGCACAGTTCTGGTTGTGTTTGGAAAAGAACCCCCTCTTCATTTAAACAAAAACAAACTCGAACCCTCAGAGGCAGTGTGAGAATGAAAGCACCAGGAAGATGGCAGTTCGCATGCAGTTTTGTGTGAGAATGTCAGGCTGTGGCTCCTGGGAACGGACAGAAGGGAGGGCCTGGGGCCTGCAGGTCAGCTCAGAGGTGCGCCCAGCTCTGTCCACGACGGGCAGTCACCACCTTCCCACCGCAGGACACCCACTGTCGGCATTCACAGGCTGTGCCCTCTGCCAGGGCGAGGAAAGGGGTCCCGAGGGGTGGGGACCTGTGCCCCAGCCCAGCAGCCCTTCCTCAGGTGAACACCCCCTTTCAGCAGCTCAGGACGCGTAGGAACCAGCAGAGCAAGACCCTGGCACCTGGAGGGGGTGGGGGAGAGGAGGGCTCTCCCTTCTCCACCAAGAGGCTTCAGGTGGAATGCACCAAAGCGCTCCTGGCAAACCAGAGACTGGAGGGTTGCTTCGCTGCCCCTGCCTCGTGGGGCATCTGCCAGGTATTACAGCTTCTCCCTCCTCAGTGGCCCCGCTCAGTCCCACTCTCCTTTCCCCCCAAAGACATGGACGCCAAGTCAGGGAGGCCTGGCTCTCATTCACGGGCCCCAGGAGAGGGAGTGCAGGAAGAGAGGCCTCATGGCTTCCCAGGAGGCTTTGTCTGCAGGAATCCCCCGGGACAGAGGCCATACCAGAGGGGCAGGACCCACCTGGCAGAATGGCGCCAAGGAGGGACAGGTGGGCAGTGCCGGAGGGGAAGCCAGGCCGGGAAGAGACTGGAGGGGCCGCAAACCCGGGCCTGACGATCCCCCTCCCAGGCTGCCGGCCCGCCCACTCGCCTCCCACACAGAAACACAGCAGAACCTGGAGCACCAGCTCTGCCTCCTGGGACCATCCACCCTCCAAGACTCACTGGGACCCTGGTCGACTCTTCAAAAGGTTCCTGGAACCTTCGTGGAGGCTGCTCTACCAAGGTGAACCTCCAGGGGGAGACCATTCTTCAGGGGACGGAGGCGGAGTCCGTTAAGGGAGTGAAGATGCTGGCCTCGCCCCCACTGCCCCCACGGCTGTCGGGTCTGGGCGGACAGAGATGGTTCTTGTTCATCTTTGTGGCCCGGGGACCCAGGTGGCACTAGGTGTTCAGCAGGTGGACGATCGAGTGGCTGGAGGCTGAAGACTAACTTGTATTTATCTCTGCTTCTTTTCCAAATCCCACTACAATGGCAATAAATGCATTTTTGCCCGGCCGGCATGGCTCAATGGTTGAGCGTTGACCTATGAACCAGGAGGTCACGGTTCGATTCCTGGTCAGGGCACATGCCCGGTTGCAGGCTCAGTCCCCAGTAAAAATAATAATAAGTGCATTTTTTTAAAGCTACACACCCACGGGGGATGGGGGGAGGAAGACAGCCTGTTAGAGGCTCTAATAAAATTGTGGAAAACAGGAGGCAGATGGACAATCGGTAACTGATCAGAAAGTTGAGACTTAAATGCTCTCAAGGACCAGAGGACGTGGAGGTTGGCACAGTCACAAAGCCCATCCCTGCCTCAGGAGGCTCAGGAGGGGGTGCAGAAGGTGCCCCGAAGGCTGGGGTGCAGGACCTGGGGCGGATATTAGAGGACAGGAGGGAAGTTAGTGGAAGGAGCCATGGCCTCCCCGGGGCCCTCCGCCAGGCGGCAGAGCAGGCACCTGCCCCTCCTGACCCCGGCCAAAGGTTACGCTCAGGAAGAGAGCGGGCTGTTCTGAAAACTGGGGCGTTAAGAGTCAGACACGCCCCCTTCTCCAGCTCCTTCCCATGCTGGCTCCCCAAACACCCACAAGCAGGCAGGAGAGACCTGGTACAGACGCCAAAGGGCCTGCTTGTAGCCCGGACCACCGGACAGCTGAGGAACCCCCTAAGGTGAGAGAGAGCCTGCAGCAAACAGAAGAACCTGGACCCCAGGAGGGCCTCCTGCCTCCTTACCATCTCCTCCTCAGAGAAAGGCACCCGGGAAGCCTGGCCGGCACTGGCTGCTTGTCGGAGTTCCTGGACATCCTGTCCTGCTATCCAACTGCCTGTGCTCTGGAAGTATGCACCACTGAATAGGCCATGCCACCTAGAATGGGACGGGACTCCTAGAAATGAATCCGGTTGGATTCGCTCAGGGGTGTGCTGGTGACTACTTAACAACAGACTCTCTGGGAAAAAGAAACCCCACTTTGCAGGTGTTTGCTGGTTTCAGTGGTGTAAACACTCCCACAGCCGATTTCCAGCTGCCAACAGGAGTCGTTGATTGCGGGGTTGGGAGGAGAGGCCCACAGTTGGCTCTCACAGGCTGGTCAGAGCTGGCCTCAGCCCCCTACCATTCGCCCTCCCTGGCAGTGACCAGGGACTCGCTCAGCCACTGCCATGGTCACATACCCTCTGCCTTCATCGCTTTTCTCCATGATCCACGGCCCACGGGCCTAACCGACCGCGGAGGCAGCTCCCCGGACCAGCCCTTCCTAGAGAGACAGGAAGTCCACCCCCCGCCCCAACAAAGGGGAGTCAGAAGCAGCGGTTTCATACAAAGCGAGGCCCCTGGGGACTGGCTCACTTCCCATCGCGTCCTGTTTTCCACTGGCCGCTGCCCCCTGCGGTGAGAGGCCTCAGGAGGGAGCTGGGCGTGGTCAGCCCCTGCATCTCGTCCTTGTCCTTGGAGAGGCTGCCCAGCTGGGACCCGGGGGCCAGGTGTGACCAACACGGGCTTTGCTTGGGACTTGGGCTCTGAAAGGAGCTGAGGGGTCTTCTCAGGGTGAGGGGATGATGAATCAAGTCCTTCCAAGTCTTCAGACCCCTCTGGACATAACCTTGGCGTGAAGCGCCCCCCTGGCCTCAGCTTACCCAGTCACAGACACGCATTCAGATGCCAGGGAAAGAAGAACAAACTTTAATTGCTGCCAAGAAGAGACCCCCCCCCTTTACCAGTGCTGACAGGGGGCATGGCACAGCTGTCCCAGCCCGGGCACGGACCACCGCCGCTGGGGTGCGCAGCCCTCCCCTCCAGGACCGGGGATCCTGGGCGAGGGGCAGGCGAGGGCCTCTGGCTGCCACGGGGCTAGGAGCGCCACAGGATCGCGTTAACAGGAGGCATGTCTAAGCGCTTGCGGGTATGGTCCGTGTCCCGGCGGTACAGGTAGCCACACGTAGGCTTCTGCATGGTGCGGAAGGGGCTCAGGGAGTTGGGGTACTGGGAGGTGTAGAAATTGAAGGTGAGCTTGTCCTGGTTCTGGCCGCTGAGGTCCACCACCACCGGCATGTAAGCTGCGGCCAGAGCCTGCTCGCGGTCCTTCTTCCATGACCGGGACAGCGGAGGCCACGCCAGGGCCACCTTCCCCTTCTTGCCTAAGGGTGCCGTGGGCCCACAGCTGGGTCCTGAGGGTTTCTGCGAGTCCTGGGAGGAAGGGAAGAAAGCGAGAGTGGGACATCAGACACTGGGACTTGCTGCTGGGGCAGGGACAGGAGGGGAAACAAAGGGGCCATGGTCAGTACCCCAGAGTCCTCCCCTCCCTCCTCCCCACCCCCCAGCACAGCTCTGCAGCTGTGGAGTCAGACACCTCCCGGCAGCATCTTCATGGCTCGGTTCGCTGTCCCACCCACTGCAATGCAGACCTCCACCCGCTTTGCAGAGGCCTCTGCAGGCTCAGAGGCTGGGAGCCACCCTCCAATTCCTCCCACACCCCCCTGCACTGCTGGCCAAGCACCCCCTCCCTCCTGCAGCCTCCTGCAGGGTCTCTCTCCTCCCTCTCCTCTCCTCTCCTTTCTTCTTCTTCTCCTCTTCTTCTTCTTCTTCTTCTTCTTCTTCTTCTTCTTCTTCTTCTTCTTCTTCTTTCTCTCTCTCTCTCTCTCTCTCTCTCTCTCTCTCTCTCTCTCTCTCTCTCTCTCTCTCATCTTCCTGCCTCTGAATCGCCTGCCTCTTCACCCTGTGCTTCGCACTCACGCCGAGTTCATCTTCCTGTGCCAATGGCCAGATCAGGAGGCCCTTCTCCTCAAAACCTCTTTTGGTTTCTCCTGCCTAGGAAACAAGCCCCAGGCCCCAGCTGGAAGGAAGAGCTTTAAACTGGGGCTCCTCGCACCCTATGTTCAGGCCTTGCCATCTCCCTCTCATCCGCTGGCCACACCTTCCCTTCCAGGCCCCAGGCCCCAGGCCCTGGCTCAGGCAGTCTCCCCAGCCCCGCACCCTCCCTCCCTTTCCTCAGGGAAATTCTCTTTCAGCCCAGAGCTCCCTCTCACCCTTATCCTGCAAGATCCCATTCCTTCTCTTAACCAAGCAATGAACATGGGTTCCCGTGAACTGAATTCTGGTGGAGGCCGCTCCCAGCCCGCCAGCCGGCCCATTCTATTTTAGAACATCCCTCATTGTTAAGTGTGTCCTGTTGTCTGGAGACACTTTTGCTGGGTGGTCAGGTCTGGAGTCCACCCCCAGGAGGTCCCCGTGGCCACGTTTACCACGTTTACTGACATTTCTCTCTCTGTCGCCGTCTCCTCAACTGTCCTCTGACTTTGAACCCACACTGTCTCCTGGCCACCGAATGCCCACTTCACTGGGGATCTTTGGAGGCGCCACGGGACTACCCGAGGGCCCGCGCCCGTGCGTCAGGCTGGCTCTGGGCTGCTTCCCAGGATACATCTGGGGGGGGGGAGTAGAATTCCTTTCTGCGGAGAAGCAGCCCCAGGAACTGGGACAGAACCCCTAGCTGCAGAGTTACTGACCCTGAGCCCCACCATTTTACAAAAGAAACCCCTGGTACTCAAGTCGCAGTGCACACTCCTTGGCATTTAATTTACACACTATTTGCACAATTCAAACATGCCCAGGGCTTTCCCAAAGGCAGTCTTTGCTCCTATAGGTTCCTACCCACACGTATATTATATGCGCCTCAGCTTTGCATCTCAAGATTCTCCCTCTCCTTTCAAGCCAGCAGCTCTGGGGACACCTCCTCCAGGAAGGCCCTGGTGCTGCAGCCCCTCTTACCCTCCGTGCTTCAGGCCCTCCTCTTGGGATGTGAGTCTTTGCAGGGCAGGACTAGGGTGAGGCCATGCACCAGTTTGAAGGAGGCGCTCCCTCGGAGTCGTGCGGGGCAGCGAGTGCCTCCTTAGGTCTGGCCCCGGGTGCTGTGCTTGCCTCATCCTAGTCCCAAATCGTGATCCTTCGGCTCCTGCTAAGGTTCCAACAGGCCTGCAAACCACTCCCAATGGTCCAGACCACATCCTGCTCGCTGTGTCCCTGAGGCTTACCCCATGCGCACAGCCGAGCTGGAGAGGGCGCGAGAGTGTTCAGCAGCCTCCCCGACTCTCCCAGGCTCAGCCCTGAGATGCGGGATCACAAGCAGAGGGGCCAGCACGGGAAGTGAGCGGTGATGGTGGTCACCGACGATCGTTTCCACCACAGGCTCTGAGCACAGGAGCACCGAGCTAAGTGGATGATCTCTTCTAATCCTCAGTCATTCGTTAAGGACGGTATTATTGTCAACCCCATTTCAAGTTGAGAAAACAAAGTAAGGAGGTCATGTGGCTGGGAAAAGCCAGGCTGGGATTGGAACCCAGGCCTGGCTGACCCCGAGGTCCACAGCCTATACTCCATGATGTATCCTGTGTCCACTACACTGTGGGGACAAGGCCTACCGAGTCATTTCTGCCCTCGCTCCATCAACTTGTGAGCTCCTGCGGGTGTGCGGGGCTGCCCTCACCCTCCAGGCCCCCGAGAGGGCCAGGCTGCCAGGTGGCCAGGGTGGCTGGAACACTGGGTTTTGAGTGCTGGACTTTGGTTCTGGGTTCTTGGACTCTGCATGGACAGGACAATGCACTGACAACCACACCATGACTGCCACCCCTCTGCAGAGCTGACGATATGATATTGGTTGCTTCATTCATTCATAACTACCCCCCTTATATGCCAGGCCCTGGGTGTGCCGGTAACAAAGACATCGCAGACGGGAACACAAACATGAAGGCTGGGAGGGCAGGGCTTCACACCTCAGCACCTTGCCATCTGGGGCCGGATGATTCTTTGGGGGGGGGGGGGGGCGCCCTGGCCTGTGCATTGCAGGCGTGTTAGCAGCATCCCTGGCCTCTACTCACTCCACCCACTTCCCAGTGGCGACAGACAAAAAGGCCCCTCATCACTGCCAGCGCCACCTGCAGGCAGCGAGAGTCACTGCCGTGGAGTCCACGACAACCTCTGTATCTGGCCTTGAGGGTGAGAGCCTGGCCCCGTAGAGCAGCTCGGGAGTTCCTGCCTGGGAAGCTTGATTCTGAGAATGTGGGGTTCCGGCCCTCCCTACCAACCGGACAGAAGGGCTCAGCCTGTGGCCATGGCGATGAGGGAACTGCAGAGGCCCACCGCTCCTGCTCCCCAGCCCACCCTCTGTCTTAGCCACTTGGACGCCGCCCCTGGGGCTCAAGAGGCTGGTGTCAGGGGTAACAGAAGCAGGTGTGCTCAGGATGGTTGGGGGTCTTACCAGGGACCCCGCAGAAGGAAGGGTGTCACTCTTTGCTAACAGAATTGAGAATCCATCAAGTGCCAGTTCTCTGAGAGCCATTTGCGATGTCACTCCCATTCCTCACATGCAGGAACTAGGCTCAGGGGTGTCTGAGCACTTGTGTGAGTTCACGCAGGTGGTGCGGTGCTGTGTGAGCACCTTGTAGAAGTTCCACGTCTAGGGACTGGTTAGTGGGGGAACCAGGGATTGAACACTGTCCTCCCTCTGCCCAGCTCAGGCCCTGGCTCCGGCTCACCTGCCCTGGGCCTGCCAGTCAGCTATGTCCCAGCTGCTGCTGCTGCTGCTGCAACCCTGGGGACCCTGATGGGGGGGGACCCAGGGCCCCAAGCACATCCAGGGACGAGGCCGTCACAGAACCAGGGACAGAGGGACTGTACAGTCTCCAGGAGGAAGAAGAGGAGAGGGAGGAGGAAGGGAAGATATTTGGCAAGGAGGAGGGGGAGGAGGGGGAAGCCCAGGCAGCCCTAGCCTTGCCCTGCCCCTTCCAGGGGCCTAGCGAGGCCCAGGTGACTAAGCTCAGAGGGCTGAGAACACCCCGCCCCCCACCTCCCAGGGCCCAGCACAGGCAACTCTGGAGGGAGGGTGGGGCCTCACTGCATACTTTCTAGGTTAACATCTGGTTTCATTTAACCATCTCCTCCCCAGTCAGGTCCTCCCTGTCAAGTGCACGTGTGTGTGTGTGTGTGTGTGTGTGTGTGTGTGAGAGAGAGAGAGAGAGAGAGAGAGAGAGAGAGAGAGAGAGAGAGGCTTTTCCCCCAGGGGCCATTGGCAATTCGGGAGACATTTTTGGTTGTCACACGAGGGGGTGGGGTGCTGTTGGCATCGAATGGGGTGAGGCCAGGGGTGCTGCTGAGCGGGCCCAACCACAGACAGCTCCGCAAGGAAGCTCAGCTCCGATGTCAGCAGTGCCGAGGTGGAGAAACCTGGCTTAGAGGTTTCAGGACGCGCCCCTCTCCCCGACCTGCTTCCGGCAGCCCTGGCTTCAGCCTCCCATTCCACAGGGAGCAAGAGACTTGAAGGGCAAGCAGAGGGTCCCATCAGCCCCTTCCCTCCCTATTTTCACTTGGGGTTCGAGCTAGAGCCAAAAAAAGGCATCCGAGTAGAACTGTGCCTCCATGCCCCGCGCCCGCTCAGGCAGAGCCCAGCAAGGCCTTTTAGACAGACGGGGCGTGTGTTGGCCCCTTACACCAGTCATCCTTAGAAGAGGATGACTCAGGAGTGGAGCTCTCTAGGCAGGGCCGGAGGACCTCATACGTGACATGACTACAGGTCTTCCAGGAAGACACCATCCTCTCAAACACTCCAGGCACCTCCACCAGCCTGGCCCACGCCTGGCATTCCACCATCAGCACCTCGCTCTTTGGTGGAAAGGCCTCCTCCCTGGTGAAATGCAAATGGCACGGGGTGAGGCACCCGTTCTGAGGGACGTGCCTGGGTCTTGGAGGCTGAAGACCTGAGCTCCAGGCCGGACTCTGCCCTTACAGGCCAGGCAACCTCGGCCGAGTGGCGGAACCAGTTGCTTCATCTGCAAAATGGGGATAGTAAGGCTGCTATCTACTGCATCGGCTTGCGGTGGGGTGCGACGCGTGTGGGACTGTGCGAGCACAGTGCAAACGGCAATTACCGCCAGCCTGCTTCTGAGCACGCCCTCTGAGCCTCTATGAGAGCACATCTGCCTGCTGGGGGCAGGGGACTCAGAAGGGCATGGGGGGGGGGGGCGCAAACGGGGCCTCGGCTTCCTGAGGCTGCGTGACATGCGGCCCGGAGTTCAAATTCCAGGCCCACCACCCACTAATACCTGACCTTTGGCATTTATAATACTCTGTGCCTCAGTTTCCCCACCTAGGAAGTGGGAATGACGAGGGAATCTGTCTCATTAGGTTACCATGAGCACCTCATGGAGACAGTTCATATAAACTGCTAGAACGTTCAAGCACTCTATAAACTTTAGCTATGAGATGGGGTAATGCAAACTAAGAGTCTTGGGGATGTGAAGGGGCAGAAGAGCCAGAGGGCTTGGATGGTGGCGTATTTCCTGCCCCTGACCAGGCCCTAGAGCAGGGGAACGAGTCGGGCAGTGATACTGGCCCCTAAGCCTTTGGTAAGAGGCCCCCAGAGCCTAGCTACACAGGTGGGCCAGGCTGGGACCTTCCTACTCCATCCTGTCAGGCAAACCTCTTGTGAGCTTGGGCCGCCCTGGTCTAGCCTGTGATGTCATCCCACCTTGGGCATCCTTGACCAGGTTCTTCCTTGCTTGGTGGTGAGATGGGACTTCTGGTAGTCAGGGGCCCCGGGGGCTCCCAGGGGCTCTTGGCGGCTACTGGGCGCGCCTGGAGGGGAGAACTTGTGTGGGCAGTGACATTGTGATGTCTCTTTGACAACACAATTCCTCTGTCTCCCTGAGCAGAGGAAAGGCATCTGAGTAGAACTCTGCCTCCATGCCCCGCACCCGCTCAGGCAGAGCCCAGCAAGGCCTTTCAGACCGGGGGCAGGGCTGGGAGCTGAAGTTTCAAGGCCTAGAAAGGTCTTTCTTTTAACCTTGACAATGACCCTCTCTGCAGTTCCCTCTTCCCACAGTCTCCCAGGACCCCTGAGCTGTGGGTAGTGGACAAGGGGAGAGTTACCTAGGTACCTCCGGAAGTCCCCACTTCCCCAGGCACTCCCTGGTGCGTGCTCACTCTCTCTCTTTCTCTCTGTCTTCGTCCCCTCCTCCTCCTCCTCCTCCTCCTCCTCCTCCTCCTCCTCTTCCTCTTCTTCCTCTTCTTCTTCTTCTTCCTCTTCTCCTTCTCCTTCTCCTTCTCCTCCTTCTCCTTCTCCTTCTCCTTCTTTTCTCAAAACATGGCTTTTATTGCATCTTTAAAATGTCACAAATAAGCCTGAGGAATCAGTCAGCATCTCCCAGTTTCTGTCGCTGGACAACTTAGATCTTGTTCATCAGCCTGCTGAATGGTTCCTTTTTCAGAAACATAGATCCATCCATTTTTTTTTCTGACAGCCTTGTTGTTAAACTGTTGTGGCTTGCTGAATCAGAGCAGGTAAATTTGATACAAGTTCAGTGTCGTTTCCTTCAAGAATCAATTCATCTTTCTGGGCTTGAGACACCAAACCCTGCGGATGTCTTTTTTGTCCAAGAAATTCCTGATTTCAACAACAGAACCATTCTCCTGAACAGCAGTAGATGGGGATGTGAGCGCACACAGACCTCACCCTGTAGCCGCCGCCCAGTGGAACACCTGGCCCTGTTCTGTACGGGACTGCAGAGAGTGCGAATTATGGCCAGTTCCTTCCTACTTCCCCACCATTTGTCAACCCGGAGTCTCTTCTTTTCTTTTCCAAGGAGACTGAGTTCTACATTGATGTGGTTGAAGTCCCTCCGCAGGGCACCTCTGGGGCCCTTTACAGTAACTGTGCAGAGAGTGATGCCAACATTTTCTGGAACGTCGACAGTCTGACTGCTGAGCATGGTCTTCATCCTTCCAGTAAATGCAGCAAAGAGTTCTTTCTCTCTCTTCCTGTGTGCCCTCCAAATTACTGAGATGATGGATGGATGGGTGGAAGGATGGATGGAAGGATGGATGGATGGATGGAAAGAAGGATGAATGAACAGAAGAGTGGGAGAGGGGATGGGCAGAATGTAGGTAGATGGATAGATGGTAGATGGGTGGTCCCTCCTGATTTGAGCCTATGTATCTTTTTAGCCTCAACTCTTGCTATTTTTCCTCTATGCAGTAGCTAAATTCTTAAATGTACCCTATTCTCCTCCCTCTGAGATTTTGCATCTGCTGTTTTCTCTCCTAGACCATTTAAGTAGGGGGTTAGGAGATGCAGGGGTGGATGGATAGATGGGTAGACAGGTGGCTGGGTTGGTTGGCTATGGGTGAGTAGATGGGTAGATGGTCAGTAATTGGGTAGATGATGGGGGTTATGTTATAGAGGATGGGACTGCAGACCCAGGAGTCGGGCTCTTTGAGCTCGAATCCTGGAATTACTATTTTGCTAGTTGTGTAAACTTGGGCAAGTAATTGAGTCTCTGTACTTCTGTTTGTTCATGTGTAAAATGAGTGGACTAAAGGTCCCTATCAAGAGAGTTGGACAAAGCACTTAGGACAGCGTCAGCACAGAATCAGCACACAATAACTAGCAGCCATTAGCATGTGTGAATAATTGAGTTGATGGAGGATTGCTGAATGGGCTGCCCTGTCCCCATCTTCAAACACCAGACCCCCCTTCTCCCTTGAGCACCATCTCCCCAACACCAGACTTGGTGGGCAGCTCCCAGGAATGTGTCAGAAACCCCACATGTAGAAAGGCCTGGGCTTCTTCCTGGGGTCAGGGGGTGGGGTGGGGAGAGGACCGAGGGGAGGGAAACAGAGCAGCTGGTGACTTCCTGCCCGCTGACACCCGGCTTGGGCGGGGTCCAGGACTTGTTTCCTTCCTGGCACTGTGTCAGCCCTGACTATTGGCCAGTGGGTGGACTTTGGGGCCCAGAGGCAGATTGGAAGTTGGGGTGTTGATGGCTTGTGCACTGTGCTCAGATCTCACACCCTGATGGTAATGGCCCCTAATTTCTGAGGAGCTGGGCGGGAGGAGGGAGGAGGAGAAGCAGCAAGCAGGGCTTGCCTCTGATGAGGATCTCCAAGGCTCCGGGGTGGTAATATCTTGTTTGGGAGGGGGAGGGAGGGTAGGAGCATGGCATTCTTGGTGGAGTGGCCAGCAGGTCTGGCTCTGAGGAAAGTGGCTTGGGTCCCAGCCCAGCATCCGTCGGAAAGGAACCCAGGAGGCTGGAGGGGGTGGAGAGGGTTTGGGGGAGCAGGGCACCGTGACTCAGCACACACCCCACTCTGTCTCAGCCCAGGCGGGGTTGAGTGTTGGGTTGGTTGCTAGGAGTCCTAGGTGACCTGAGCTAAGTCCCATCCATCCCTGGGCCTGTTTCCTTATGTGCACAGAGAGGGTGCTGGGTCCCTCCATTTTGGACATTGGAAGAAGGGGAAGTGAACCACTTTCTGAGGACCTCAGACAGGGACCCACCCGACTGTCCATAGGAGTGGGCCCTGCCAGGACTGTCCCCATCCCAGGCCATGTCACCCTTCCCGTGGGAACTTCAACAAGGGGCAGTGGCTTGGGAGACCCCGTTAGGAAGGCCTGGCTAGTCCAGCTCTATCAGTCTTATTTCAATTGTAAGTCACGCTGCCTGGGTTTAAATCCCAGACCTTCCCTTCTGAGTGACTTTCACAAACCAGTAAACTCCCTGTGCCTGAATTCCTAATCTACAAAGTGAAGCTGATAAGAGAATTTACCTGGAATGCTTGTTGTGAGCAGTGCCTGCCTGCTGCAAGCTAAGTGCTACGCGTCATATTGTTGTTATTTCCCAACTTTGAAAGACACGGATTCAGTCCTGCCTCCCGGAAGCCCGTTCCTCTGACTTCTCCGCCACGCTCCTGGCATGGCCTCATTTTACCGACAAAGTTCCGGGAAGGAAGAACTGTGATTTGTACCCACAGCGCTCAGTGGGTGCTTGGGACGGATGAGGAGAGGCTCAGGACT